GCATGTACTGTCTTCGCTCGCTCGGAAACCTGGATCGTGGGTTCGAATCCGGCACAAGGCATGGATGTTTGGTATGTATATGTGTTCATTCTGTGTTTGTGTTGTCATAAGTTTAGGTAGAGACCTTGCGACGAACTGACCACTCGTCCAAGGAGTCCTACCATTTGTAAAATGATCACAGAGGCCTAGGCCCAAGGGGGCTGTAGAGCCAGTGTACTCGTAATTCCTGCTCCCATTCATATTCATTAACTTTTTTTATTCGCATAGTGGGGGGTGGAGTCCAGCTGGGTCCACTCAGCGCGTCGGTCACTGATTGGCCTATGGTACCTGCCCCGTGTGATTATGATGAAGGAGAATTTGCTGGAATGAAGATTTACAGGGGAAACCGAAATACTCGGAGAAAACCTGCCAAAGCGCCACTTTGTCCACCACAAATCCCACTTGACCAAACTCGGGCGACTAAGCCAACGACTAACCGCTTGAGTTATGGCGCTTCCATTCATGTTCATCATCTTTAAAACTATAATGCACTATACCCATTCATGTTATGTACATCTCTGTTATTGCATCTTTGCCTTATAACTTCAATATATTAACTCCATTGCTGAGAGACTGCGTCCAAACATAGCCTAGACCAGTACTTTCTAGTTCGTGTTTTAACGGTGCAGCCCAGCTCATATTATTATTTATTTATCTATTTATTTATCATCATTTTCACCCACCATGCATCTACTGCTATGACGGACTTTGTCATGCTATTGATCTCAGATGAAAGGCGTGCGTGATAACTTGGCCACGTACACTAGTGTATACATATTTTACAGAGCATTTGAGACACGCCAGCCAGTCTCAGTGATGTGGGACCCCACTCATTTCCTGCATGGGCGCATACGACTGCTAAGCGGGCGGAACTTTTCCTTTCGTTATGTAGTGATATCTGTTGCCCGCAATTTTTCGATTATTGTCTGCCTAGTTTCATCTTACTAATAATACTTTTTTTTCCTTTTCTCCCTGATAATGAATACAGCAGCGCGTTTTGGCTCTTATTTTCTAGGAATCGCAGGGCTATTACTCTTCTGTGTCTGGTAATTTTATGGTAACGTACTTGGTTTATGAGCGTAGCTTATAACTTCATAGCGCGCCGCCACGCTGGGATCCATTATTACGCTGAAGTGACTACATACAAGTAGCTATTACCTTACTGAAGGAAAGAGCCCTCTTGGGAAACTTAGGTGTAGATGGGAGAATATTGTAATGTTTAGCGTAATTTGGAGCAGTTGTCATCATACCAATGGTAACCACTTATGTTGTTGAGGTAAGTCTTTGTCTATTTTTCCATTATTTACCTTTGCCTTGCATTCAAGAGGTAATCCACTCACAGTTTCTGCCTGGCTTTATGTTATGCTTACTGAAATTTTCGTGGTTTTCTTTGCTCTCTAATAAGTTGCGAGTAAAGATAAAGTTGTCTCGTTAATTAAGCATCACGCCATGAAAATATATGGGGGAGTGGATTATAGCTCCACGAATTCTTAACCTCAACACTAGAATGGAGCGGGTGGTTAGCTTCACGCCTAGGCCGCTGTATCTCCAGGGAATGACAGGATAGTACTTTTAAGTAGGCCGCCACTGGATTCTTCAAAATCCTTACCTTTTACCACTTATGATTACATTGTGTATTTTCCCATCTCATTCGACGATGGATAATTTTCAGTTGAAACAGCTTTGTCAGATAACCTAAGTATCATTGCATCCAGTTGCTTCCTTTTAACGTTTAGCCGTATGCATGTTACGCGAGCACTCTACTGCAGCCCTAACTCATGTCACCAGTTACCGTGCTTACCAATCACAGCTTGTCTTGAGTGTAGCAGCAGTGCTGTAGCGGAGGGGCTGGGGAGGTGAAGAAGACGTTAGTCTCGTGTTATCTCGTTTTGTGTCGGGTGTGCTGTGTCGTTCGTTGAATAAACGCTTATAAATCCCAAAACAGAAGGAAATAATATTGTGTGTTTTTGACGTTAATTGTTAGTAACGTCTCGTATGCTAGTAAGTTGTGTTAGGATACCGTGGTTACACATTCTCAAGTGAGTAAGTGATGTAAAACTGCAGAGACAGCATCAATGCATGCAGATTTGAAGTGCTGTGTATTACGAATATTCGTGAGCTCAAAGTCAGCGTGTGTATCTTAACTTATTTGAATATAATCTTAATGGTGTTATGTAGGATTAGGGGTTTTCCTCTTAGTGGTATCAGTTTGACGTGGCTTCCTTGCACTTCTTCAGGATTTATGGAAATGGCTTTCGTGGCGAATGCTACGCCGTCAGGACTGAGGAAGGTAAGGAGTTTTCAATATGTTACCAGTGCGAACGCCATTAAGTATTGTCTTATCTTATTGTACAAAATGTCCGTTTAACCGGACAATTTTAACACAGATCCTTTGTGGCATTACAGCTTTCCCAAAGCACGTTTCGCCTAGAGTCCATGTCAGAACGTCAAAGTAGGTGTGTGCATTTGACTGATTATGCGAACTTAAATTCTTTCTTATGCAGTCAACATTTGAAGGCACAACCACATAATAAGACGTTGCACACCCCTTTATGTTTTTTTCTGAGACGTGATCATAACAAATTAGTAATTAATACTGATTTGGTTACTCCATGCCTGTTTCCAGTCGTACTGTTTTTGGGAAAAGATGTATGCATACACAAGACGCTTGCTACAATTTATATAAGCAAAAGTTGCAAAACGAACTGAAATACATCGCTTACAGGGTCTTTAGGCAATTTTATCGGAACAGTGGTTTGTATCAACTATTAAAAGTTGTCTTAGATGGGAAAATTGCTGCTGGTCCTTGCCATCACAACCATTCTTGGTTCCGAGGGACTCATGGCCAATTTTACTGTCTTGAGACTCCCGGAGTCGTGCCGCTATCTCTTAAAGATTTAATTTATTCTAAATAATATATAAAAACTCAGTTCGTATCGCACACGAAACGCATTACGTCTCCGCTACAAAAGATGGCCTGATAATGCATAGTTTTAGTATGCCAAAGGAGATGGTACATATAGTGACCACAGGGCGTTAAAAGGTTAAATTACACAGACATTTTGTGTTATTGTACCATGTTTTCTTATTTTAATCTTCGCCGCTGTAAAAATCTAAAATCTCTTCACATAAAATCCGTCCAACTGACTTTGTGAAGACGTCTTCCAATTGACCTCAAGTGAATATCGGAGGCTCCTTCGGTGGAAGGACCCTCATCCTGCCATAGGCGGGCTCAGTAGCCCAATATCACCACAATAGCTTATAGAATATGATAATTCTGATTGCTATTTAAGTAACAATAAAAAAAAAACTTTGTAACGTGGACCAAGAGTAACATGTAATATCTGTGTCCGAAACATGTTTTAATATTTAACACGATATAAAGAGGAAACCTCTTCTTGGAATCTGAAGAAATTCCATTTAACCAATCACACACTCTGTTTATCTCCGGAACATTACGTCGTAAAGAGGAAGACATACACATACCTAATTTATATGGGCCGGTCACGGTAGCCGAGCGGTCTAAGGCATGCAGTGTCTTCGCTCGCTCGGAAGCCGGGATCGTGGGTTCGAATCCCACTCAGGGAATGGATGTTTGTGTACGTTTTTCTGTGTTTGTCTACAGGTAGAGGCCTTGCGACGAGCTGATCACCCGCCCAAGGAGTCCTACCAAATGTGTAAGATCTAGAAAAACCGAAGTGAACGGAGAAGTTCATGGAGGTAGGCCTAGGCCCACTGGGGCTGTAGTGCCAAGGGGGGAAAAAAATATGGAAGTGGTAGTGGTGATGATGAATGTGGTGATAAAATATCTCCACATAGTGTTTAGTGTCATTAATAATAATAAATCCTCAGTCCCCAAAGAAAATGGCCTGATAGTAGCACTTTAAAATCAGTCCACTACTGCCTTCCTCCACATCCTTCCAAATTTATTATTTGCTATCAGCCAACACTACTACAATGTAAGCTGAGTTATTGAAAGTGTCATTAAATAAAGCACTAACAGATGGACAACAACAATTCAGAGGAACAGAATTCTTTAGAAGCTAGTAGTCGCTCTGCTAGTCCTAATACTCGTATATTGCCTTTACGCAACCCGAATCGCCCAGACTCAAGTTGAGTCCCAGAGCATTCCGTTTGGTAGAGTTGCTCTGCGTTCTCCCCCGCCGGTTAGCTTTCCACTGGCGCTGTTCTCTCGTCGGTCTGGGGCTGGGCCCATTTGAGATCTAAGTACCAAGCGACGCAGCCTCACGCCACATAAAATAACAGTATAATAATAATAATAATAATAATAATAATAATAATAATAATTCAATTCGTGTTTATTTACATGCAAACTTAACAGCACAGAGGCCAATAACAAAGTTGGTACGAGTACATAGAAATACAGATATAACTAAAAAACAAAATACAAATAAAACAGTCTATATAATGGCAATAAATTAATAATAATTCCAAGAAGAATTAAAGTTAACGTTAACAGGAGAGAACAATAAAATAATATACGTACATACACACACGTGATATTAAGAGAATCATTAATAAATATTATTATCAATTTTAGGTTCAGTGTCACAGACAGAAACTGTTCCGATTGCAAATATGTCGAGATCTTTACCCACCGCGTTGGCAGCATAGGCGCACCGAGCAGAAGGACAGTGTTTATTAGAGGGACAAACAGCAAACAATGAGAAGTCCCTAAGATTGCTGGGAGAAACACGGAAGGCTAACATTTTCCGAAAGAGAAGCGCAGGATTTAAGATTACGAGAGACCTGCGCAAGAAAAAGTGCATCAAGGTGATGTCTCCGTAATTCAATTCAATTCAATTCAATTCTTTATTATTTATGTGCTGAGCCAACAGCCGTAATAATAATAATAATAATAATAATAATAATTTTGGGATTGATTATAATGATTACTAGAGCCCGCAGTTGGACGTCGCTGTGAACCAGATTAGTCCAGTCCGCATTCTTACGCATTATTCATTTCAAATCTTCATCGATATCCTGCCACGCGCACCTACTCGTAGGTCTCCCAAGTGAGATCTTCTTGAATAAACCTTTCCAGTTCAATTCTCATCATCTGTAGTACAGCGCACCCTTTGTCCCATGTGAGTACATATGTACGTGTATTATTATTATTAGCTTGCACTAATGCACATTTCACTGCAATGTCAGTAACAGGTCCCGTTATTCGTGGTGGCTGGTCACATTCAACTTCCCTCGGAGTTTTGTGTACACACACTTCTATTTTTGGAGCTTCAGAACAAATTTCGTTGCGTAAGACCTGAAGCTTTCACGCCGGCCAAAGTTGATAAAATCCTCTCGGATATCGGACTTGTCAGTTGGTTAAAAATTACCGACATTTCAGGAACCGTCTCTGTCCGCATCATCAGGGTCTGATGTCTGGTCTTTAACGAATTGACATGTCTAATCGCCCGAGATTTTATCAAATTTTGTTACCATGGCAACTGCAGCAGCTCGCTCTGCTCCTCTCTGCCCCTCAGTTGTGGAATAGAAGTATAGTACATATAACAGGTCAGAAATTTTTGCCATATCCTCTCGCAGTTCGAGCGCCATAAGGTGAAATGTATTAGTTTGATGGGTTGGACAGGTAGCATGAAATATATCTCATGTTCTACAGGCTGGAACGCTAGATGAACGCCTGAAGACTGTGGGAAAACAGGACGAACACAATGTACGACGCATTGAAGCTAAGACCACTGTTGTTATTGTAGAGATTTGTGCACGCGCACTAACAGCAGTTCATTGCAGTTACGATTGTCAGAAACTGTCGGCGAGGATCTAGGTCGATGTTTCCTTTAAGGGTCTATGCAAACAAACAAAGAACTCTGTGACCTGCAGTCCGCAAGCGACCTATACCGACCGAGCGACCGCCACTTGTCGGCGAAGCTAGTGCGAACTTTTGCGGATAGAGTGTGTCGCGTGGTCAGGGCAAAGGATCCCCACGGTAGTTAATCTCGGTTTTCTAGACCGGAGCCCCTATTTCCTTGAAATAGCTCCTCAGTTATCTTTACGAGGCTGAGTGGAACCCGTTCCAGACCCACTACTTTTCAGAAAATCTGGTAGCGCTGGAAATCGAACCCGGAACCTCTGGATCTGTAGCAAGAGACTCTGATCACTAGACCACAGAGGCGGTCTTAAGGGTCTATGTCAGCATTAAATGAGAATAGTTTATCTCGGCTTACGATAAGTTACACGGTATGAGGTCGCCTTGGAAATTCCTGTTCAGAAAAGATCCTAAAGGATTCCTAATGTTACACTCCCACGATTTACCCTGAGAGAAGCTGACCGCAAGTAATTACTCGATCGGCTTTGGTGAGTGATTAGAAAGACGACGTGTTACTGTGCTTCATTGAATATAACTCTTTTAACCGGTGTCTTGTCAAGACTGGAATAGAGTTTAGGGCATCTGATTGGCTGGCATCTCAGCACACGCTTCTGTCCAAAGTACGAACCCCGTTGGTCGTGTGACGCACAGGATTTAGCCCGGGGACTTATCCAACTTGTCAGCGGTTACCAACACGGCAGGCTGAGTCCCACACTGCCTCGTATTCTGGAGTAAAACAGAATTGTCACGTTTACACTAAATCCTAATGATTCTGATGCCAAAGTTCCTCTTGCTAACAGACCTATCGCCGGTCACGGTAGCCGAGCGGTCTAAGGCATGCACAGTTTTCGCTAGCTCGGAAACCGGGATCGTGGGCTCGAATCTCACTCAGGGCATGGATGTTTAGTTTGTGTGTTTGCGTTTTTCTGTGTTTGTGTACAGGTAGAGGCCTTGCGACGAGCTGATCTCCCGCCCAAGGAGTCCTACCAAATGTGTAAGATCTAGAAAAACCCAAGTGAACGGAGAAGTTCATGGAGGTAGGCCTAGGCCCACTGGGGCTGTAGTGCCAAAGAAAATAAAAACAGACCTATCACTGCTGCTACTACTACGACTACGAACGATGAGTTTAATATTTTTCACCGTCCACAATAGTGGCTCTGGCCTAGAAAATGAACAGACGTGAGGAAGTTTAATAACACCAGTTGACGGTGTTCACACGTGTCTCCTGCTGCAATTGGATCTGTTTTATAACTGTGTTATTTAACCATGACATGCCATTGTGCCAGTAATGGAACACATATCATGGCGTCCATAAAGACATCCCTGCTCTAAAGTAACTGTGAGTTGTTGCTTCAAATGAATAAGATACACTTGCTGAAAATAAACAGTTCAATTCACGTGTTATCTTACGACTCTTATGTGAAGTATTTTCGACACGGAAA